TCAATTTTTGAGGGTAATGTCTTCAACTAGATACGATTTGTGATCTTTTGACATATTTTTCATCAAAATCGGTTTAGTGAGAGCTGAGATTGAGCGTATATAGACACAAAAAAAAAAAACACATCATAGTAAAATGAATACCTTCTCAGCTTCGCATCGAAGCTAAAATTGTTAAATTAAATATAATAAAATAAAACTCAATACACATATTATTAATTAAAAGGTCACAGTAGAAAATAGAAATTAAAATAATAATAATAATAGCGATTATACTATTCTCTGTTCAGAATAACCTTGCCCACTCGACCGACGAGAACTCGTCTGGTTTGCGCATGTCTGTTGCCACGGGGAGCGCATGTATTACCTAAATACCTAGTTAAGAAACAGTAAAAAAAAAAAACTATAGGCATAAACTATAAACATAATAGGTAATATTACCTATTGTACATTTAACAATATATGTAAGGTACATATTAAGAGGTTATTTAATACTGCTTGATTCTGCTATACAGAGTGTTCAGTAAGTATCAGTACTGAACACTCTGTATATTTGTCTATGGGAAAGGACATTTGATATATAAACCTATTGTCTAAGAATAATGATCATTTATGCATTAAATTCTTAAAAATTTGTATTTTAATTTTATGACATTTTCCAGTTGAAAGGCTAATTAAGAAAAAAAAAATATGAAACCAAATTTTTTTTTTATTTAACGTTTCTTTTAAATATTCATATGAATATGCAAAAAACACAAATGTCAAAATGACCTTGGGACATTTAAAACATGTACTAAGAAATAGATGAAAGAGGTTAATACTAATAAATTATTAGAATAAAGCAAGTGATAGCACAGAGTTCAGAATAAAATAAAAAATGAAATTTAAATAAACTTTAAGCAATAAAAAACTACAATACATGATTGGATGTAGGTGTTATAACTTTTTATAATTTTAGAATATTTGATAAAAACATGGGTTTTTGAAAACTTTAACAAAATAATGTTATACAACATATCTATTCTTCGTGAAATGCTTTAAAATCGTTTGCTTTATAATATTTTGAAATATCGTTTAATTTATCATGAATGACATCATCATTAATTTCACCAAATTTTGTTTTATTACATTCTGCCTTGTATTTTAATACTATTAACAGTACATCACCTAAATCGTAATAATCCCAATTCCCTAAAAAAATACAAAAATATAAAAAAAAAGATTATTTATAATTTGTTTATTAATTACTATTTTTGTTAATATCATTTATCAAATAACGTATAGCCATTTTGATTTTTACCATGTCTTCATTGTTGAGTGTTACCTTCTAAAATATTCAAAATAGTAATTTTAATCAATACCGGGAAACTATTTTTTCAATTATACATAAATAATTTGACATTGCAATCACTGACAACTTAAATAAGTTTTGATCCAGTTAATTTTTTTTTATGGTTAATATACTTGATGGTTGTAATAATAATATAATTAATATTATTTAATTATTGAATAATAATTAATTTAAAAAA